TAGCCGGCCCAGGAACCGGAGGAGGGGCGCAAATTAGCCGCATTTCCGCCTCGCTCGATCTGACACTTTGACTTCCTGTGGCCTTTGCCAACCCCCGTCCTTACAGAACACACGACTCCGACTTCGACTCCGACTCTGTCTACGGCTACGGCTCAGTCTGAGATTCTGCGTCGGCTTCAGAGTGAGCCTCTCTATTATTGTCTCGGCTCCTTCTCTCTGTAGCATATTAATTTCATGCACAGCAATTGCTCGGCCAATTCTCTGTCTATTTGGGTAAAACAATTCTCAAATAGAAATCAAAACAAATTTCGTTACGCATCTCTCGCCTTTGTCTCTATTTAGAGCACATTTTATAATGCAGTTTGTTTTGATAGTTGCCGCCCAAAGGCCAATTCAAAGCCGTAGGAAGTTGCCTAAATAAGAAAAAATATTACGCTTAACTAATTGGCTTCTAATTGTAGTTAAAGGCCCGCTGGAGAGCTACTGTTCCAGCCAAGACAAGTCTGCAAGATTATAAATTTGAAATTTGGAATAACTGCGAGTGCATCCTATGCCAGAGCTTGAATGGAATCATCGCAGACGGATTGTGCTTCGAATTAAACTGGAAATAACTTTTATCATGTCATAAATTTGAAATTTAGAAAAAACTAAAATGAAAATATGAGCAAATTTATTTGTCACAAGAGAAATGAAGCAAATATTAGCGAGTCATGGTTTGAACTAAATATATTTCCCATTCAAGAGATCCTTGCCACATGGAACGCGGAGCATTTTCTTGGGCTAACACTAACATCTATTCGTTGTCTTTAGTCGGTTATCGATGTATTATCTTTTTTTCTTTTTCTCTCTCTCTAATACTTACTACGTGTTCATAAACAAGAAATGCATTATCTAATATTTGCTGTACAAGAAAAAAACATATATAAATCTAGCTCTAGTGACAGGCCACAAAAGTGAGTGTACCCTAAAACTGTGCTACACTTTGTGGCAAGCTCGAAAGGGCGTGGCAGAGATCGTGACGCGGAGGCATATGGAGCAAACAACTTTCATCGCCAGCTGGCTAGGAACATGGCAATTTATGAGCATGACTTGTTGAACTTTGAGCCAAGAAGATCGGAAGCTGTTGGAAACTGCCCGATCATGGCATCAAAATGTGAATCAAGCCAATTTGTTGCAATGAAGCTTACAGCAGCGTGAGGCAGCAATCAAAGAAGAGGAAGGCGAAGACGAAGGGAATTGATTTTGACAGCTATTTATGGCTGTCGATCGACAGGTCGACAGATCAAAGCGTGGGCAACTGACAGACAGAGTGAAAAGTGTGGGAAATGCGTTTTCTACGAAATATCCGGTAAGGCCAGACAAAGGCTGCATTGTGCTAAGGACGTTTGCCAGTTGCGTCTGTGGCAAGTGTGTCAACCCATATATATATCTCTCTCTCTCTCTCACACACACAGTCCCGCTCTCTCTCTCTCTCTCTTTCAATCTGGCTTTCTACTGTGACTCTCTTGTGTACCTGACGAACTTCCCTTTAGCATTTTACCTTTTACCATTCCCATTTGCCTGTTACAATTTTAATGCGTATCTGTCTCTGGCGCAAACGGCATAATAAAGAGAGTCCAGACCCGGTCCCAGAAATGAAAAAAAAAAAATCCCAAAAAGCGAGCTCTGAATGGACACACATTAAACGCATGCATGCATGCGTTCATATAGATGCGTAATGGTATAGTAATACAAATATATATATATATATATATATATATATATATATATATATACATATGTATATAAGCTAAATTCATATATGGATGCGTATGTGCGACTAATAGCACATCCAACGAAAAGTAAGGCAACTAATGAATTTTCATGGCGATTCCTGCGGGAAATGCCAATAGCTTTCAACGTTTCACGTCGCCGCTGACGTACCTAGACACACCATGGAAGCCACAAATATACAGCAGGACAGACAGACAGACAGACAGACAGACAGACAGACTGGCAGAGAGACTGGCAGACTGGCAGACAGATAGGCCACCCAAAAACCCACCCACGACCCCGTCACGACGAACTCGCTGAACAAAAGGAAACACAAACCGCAGCGCACGGGCCAGCATTGTGGTGGGCAGGGGAAGAGGGGGGCGGGAAGCTTCCTCGCAAAAGCTATTCAACCAAATGTTGTATAAATGTAATTCAATACTTTTTTCAATCTTGCAGTTGCCGCTCTTGTTGTTTGTTACTCTGTGGCAGTAAGTAAGTCCACAGTACTGCGAAAAATGTTGCCACCGCACACACACACACACACACACACATAAAGTACAACAAATTGGAAACACATTTTACCCTCCAATTACTTAAATACAATACTCGCTGCGATTGAAGACTAGAACAGGGGGTTACGTGGCATGAGGGGGCGGGGAGGAGTGGGGTGGGGTGTGGTGGTGGGCGTGCGGGGCAGGGTGTGGTGTGGTGCGGTTGGGTAATCGGCAGCAGGAGCCAAGAGCCAAGTCTTGAGCTGTCACAGTGGCGCATTAGTTATTAAATCTTTCAAAATAATTAAAACCCAATTGGCTTTTATAATTACATTTAATTACGAGTAGATTGTAATTATTTTATTTTTATGCTGCGACATTTTTTTGCAGCTTTCGTAATGACCGCGATTTCGAGTTGAGTTCAAAAATATTTCGATTTTTCCATATTTTTATCATTAATATATAAAATCTTGTCAATGAAAAAAATAAAACTTGTATTTTAAAGCTTAAAACTGAAAACTTGAATGGGTTCCACCTATTTCCCACCCGTTGGTGAATTTAAATTCATCGATTCAGCCGTGAAACACACGTCTTACATTAGAGAAAACAAATTTTGAGTTCAATAAAAGGTTGAACTCAAACCCACCCATTTTCCATCCATAGTCCTCCCACTTTTCGCCCGTAGCGTGGAAGTATCAAAACGTGTTCTTTCTTACAAATTGTTCATGAAGATCTTTGCAAATATATTTGAAGCTGATCAGACAAATGCTTAAGTGTTTACCGAACAACGCTGCCCCCCATTTCCCCATCCCTAAAACTGCAAGTTTTTTTCCCCTAAGATCCCAATTACCATCGGCAGAAGTTCCGCCATCCTTGGCTCCGGCAAATTGATCACCAATTCCTCAAACCAGCAGGGTTTATATTAATGGAGTGAATATAATTAAGCGAAACGTAGCCACTTCTTTCAGAGCTAAAAAACTGCATGAGCCGTTATTCACAATGGAAAATTTGTTGTAATGCCGTGCTCAAAGGCGCGACTACTTGATCAAGTCACTTTGTTAAGACAAAATTGCGAAATTGTCCAAACTCAGCTACTCGCAATGCCTTCTAGCACCTGAGATGGGCTGGCCCCAATGATAGAAAAAAAAAAAACTATCGACCACACACATACGCACACTGTGCAAATATCGCTACAACTGTACACACACACACACACACACATGGCCATGCGCATTTCTTGTAAGACTGTATGTATGTCATGTGTCTGTCTGTCAGTCTGTCAGTCTGTCAGTCGTTTGTCATGCACGCTTCACGCCAACAGGTCTCTAATTTCGGACGCGCTCTTGCTCGCACTCACGCATTTGCATTTGCATTTGCTTTGCTTTGCTTTGCGAACGAATGAATGAATGAATGAATGTTTGTCTGTGCCTCCCCCAACCCCCACAGCCGCTGGCTCTCCAGAGAGTTGGTGCGCTTTGTGCGCGCTAATAGATTTTGTATTACCTACATAGGGCAATTCCCGCAGCTCGTTCGGTCCCGTTCACATGCATGACCGAATTTTCATTTTACGCTCGCCAAACGCGCGCGCCAAACGCTTTTCCAGCCAAATCCCAACGGAGTCAGCATCAAGGCAAAATTATTATGATTATCATTATTAAAGGAGTCGATGTCGAGCAAACTGCCAAATCAGGGCTGCCCAACCAACAAAGTGCGTATCTAATGCCAACCACAAACGCCCACCACCCCCCGCCGCCCTAATCAGAGCCCGCAAACGCAACAGCGACCGCAGCGGGCGGCCGTTTCTGTTACACATGTCAATATTAGATTTAAGATTTGAGCACAAGTTAAATGGGTTAAAGCCAGGGCAGCTGGCGATGACAATGATGACCATCATTTGCTGGTGGAGTGGCACTGGCAGTGGGAGGATACACTTGTGCATCGGTTGCAATTTACAACATATTTTGCTTAAACACAGGCCATAAGTGTGGCTAACGGTACAGCAAGGCAGGGGGCGGAGAGCGTGGAGCGGGGAAGGGGGCACGCTGCGTGACTGCGTATTGAGACACATTGTAATTAAATAAATGTTACTGCAGCTCAAGACCCGGCTGAGTACTGTGAGCATTCAGTCACCATGTCAACGAGATCCGCTGCCGCTGTCAAGGCAAAGGGTGCGGCAGAGGCGTGGGCGTAGGAGGGGGCATGCGACGGGGAAGGGGCAGCTTGTGCACATTGTGGCCGCAAGTGAATTGCACTTATCCGGGATTAGTAAAAATGCCACATTAAACAGCGTAAACAATGTAAATAACTAGTTTATTGTTGCAAAATTATATTAAACAACATCCGAATAAATGCAATTGCAGAAATTGCGCACGCTTTCAATGAAATTAAATACGGCACGCAACCTGATCAGTTGTGCATAATTTATTGCGATTTAATCAAATATTTGTTTAGGGAATATTTTTCATAAATAAATATTCATTTATGGATGGATATGATGGATATATCATAAATTAAGATTCCCAACTGCAGTTGGGAAATTTTGTTGGGTAGCGCAATTTCCGTTGCTTTTCAAAATAATAACGGCTTGCGAATAAAACAAGAAAAATCAACGTAAAGCGCCATCTGGATAAATAATTTGTTATTGTTTTGGTGCTGCGTTGCCAACCATTGCGAACTGTTGCTGACGTTTAACCATCGAAACGGCCGTCCACAGCAACTCTGAAAAAAAACATCTGGGCATGTTTTGTTCTTGGCGCGCTTTTGCCACAACTGTTGTGCGTGTGTTTGTGTGTAGCGCGCTAGAAAGATAAACGATAGGTGGAAAAAAAAAAGCAAACTACATTTGCAATTTACATATATAAACATTTACATAAACACCGCAAACAAGTGTATTAAGATGCCTGCCGGCATTGTTAAAACACCAAACACGACGCGTGCAAATGATGCAAATGCAACCAAATCGGCGGACCGCAGTGGCAACGACAACGGCAGCAGTGGCAAGAAATTCGTGCAGACGCGTCTGCCATTTAAGCTGATAACGCCCGTGGCAAAGGCTGCTGCCGCCGCCGCCGCCTCCCCAACGCCAACAGCCACAACATCTCCAACAGCATCAGCGTCCAGCGTTGTGGAGGAGGAGCAATTGGAGCGTGAGCCGCGCAAGCGCAAGCTGTCCTATGGCTGCGGCGAGGAACCGGTGGCTGAGCAGCTGCGCCGCTCCAACAGCAAAGAGAATCTGGGCGAGCTGGGCGTGTCTGGCATTACGTCTAGCAAGAAACCCAAAACGACAGAAGCAATGTCCGAAGAAGTCATTGAGCTGGACGACGACGATGATGTTGACGACGACGACGCCGTAGACGTAGACGTAGACGTAGACGGAGATGTCAAAGATCCAGCTGCTGATAACCATGTCAAGGAGAAAAAGGTGAAGGAGAAGAGCGCGGAGAGCGCCAGTCATCCGGCGCCAATTCAAATCAAGCTGCCGCTGAGCAACAAGCGCGGCAAGCGCCGCAAGTCCCTGAGGAAGGCGGAGAAGTCGGTAAAGGCTCCGCCAGCCGCCGAGCCGAGCGACTCCAGCGATGATATTGAGGTCATTGCCAATAGTCTTAATCCGCAAAAGCGACCCAAGGTGAGTGTGGCCAAGTCCAAAGCATCGCCAAAGATCACAGCCAAGATCAAAACGCCTGTCCAGACCAAATTGAATGTGGAGGCCAAGTCGAACGGAAAGGCCAAGACGATTGTCAAGACTGATCTGGAGTCCAAACCGAATGTGCCGGCCAAGGCCGATGTGAAGTCCACGTCCGGAACGGAATCAAAGGCAAAAGATGAATCAAAATCAGATAAAGAATCCAACAAGGATGTCGACTCGGAAGTGATGCTCCTGGACAGCAGCGACAACGACCTGAAGCCCGAAGAAAATGCCGTCGCCGAGCAGTCCAGCACCGATCTGGACATGGACGTTGACACAGACACGCTGAACAAAACGTCCCCGGAAAAAGAGAGGGAGGAGGAGGGTGAGGAGGAGGAGGAGGAGGAGGTGCACAAGTCAGCCGGCTCGAGCGCCAGCGCTGCTGCCCTTGTGCCAAAGAAGCCGGAGAAGCTGCAGAACTTGACGCCCAAGCAGCAGAAGCTAATGGAGCAGCGACGCAAGGCGCGCGAAGAGAAAGAGCGCAAGCTGCAGGAGGAGCGTCGCCTCAAGCTGCTGGAGAAAGAGCAGCGCGAGCAGCAAAAGAAGGCGGCGCGCGACGTCAAGGAGGAACTGAGGCGCAAAGAGCGTGAGGACAAAGAGGAACTGAAGCGCAAAGAGCGCGAGGAAAAGGAACGAAAGCGGCAAGTCGAGCACGAGGAGAAGCGCAAACGCAACGAGGCCAAAGAGGAGGTGCAGCGCAAAAAGGACGAGGAGCGCCGCCGCAAGGAGCAGGAAAAGGAGGAAGCTGAAGAGAAAAAGAAACGCGCCGCCGCATCCTTCACTAAATTCTTTGTGCCCAAACAGCCGAAGCAATCCAACGGTGGCTCGCTGGATCACGAGCAGAACAGCTGCGACAGCGGCCCCAGTCACAGCAGCAGCCAGCAGCTCGCCTTTCGTCCCTTTCAGGTCAAGGACGATATGATCCTGGCTCCCGTCATACGCGCCACACTCGGCGCCGACACGCGCCAACAACTAGACAGCCTGTTCCTCGTCCCCGATGATCAAGATGAAGAGGAGAAGGAGGAACTGAACAATAGCATTGGACGCGTCAAGCGTCCCACACGCGCCCAGCTCTATCTGAGCGAACTGAGCCTGGGCAAGCACAAGCCGCTGGCCAGCAAACGTGATGCCCGACTGCAGAGAAGTGCCAAGGATGAGGAAGATGACGATGATGTCCAGGTGATTGGTAAGTGCACAGTTTTTGGCTCTTTCGGAAACATCTCATTTTAACATAATTTGCTGCTTGCAGATGATCTGGCCAATGCGGGCACGCCCATTGTGGAGGAGCGGCCCAAGCAGCTGCCCTGGACGCGTGCCAAGTATTTGCACTTTGCGGACAATCGTCGTCCGCCCTACTACGGCACCTGGCGCAAGCGCAGCCAGGTGATCAGTGCGCGCCGTCCACTGGGCCAGGATAAGGTATGTTATAAGGAAATTTGCTCCAGCTGTGCCCTAACCATACATATTTATATTTCTGCTGCAGAATCATTTCGACTACGAGGTGGACTCCGATTGCGAGTGGGAGGAGGAGGAGCCAGGCGAATCGCTTAGCGCCAGCGAGGATGAAAAGGAGCGCGAGTCTGAGGAGGAATCTGAAGAGGAATACAACGAATGGTTTGTTCCCCATGGCCATCTCAGCGACGAGGAGTTGCAAAACGATGGCGAGCTCGAGGATGGCAACACACGTGAGGCACAGAAAGCCAAGCTACAGGTGCTGCAACAGGAGTTTGCACAGGAAATGAAGAAACAGACCAAGAAGATTAAGCCACGCCTCCTGGGCCCCGTCTGGCTAGATGAGAGCGGCAACAAATCGCAACTGTGCCCGGCCGTCTTCATCCAGACCATTGACATGTACGGCTGCTGGCAGCTGCAGCCGCTCACGCTGGAACCGCCACCGGAGTCCGTTGGCGAGGAAGAGCCGCCCGAGGAAGTCAAGGCGAAGCCAAGCACAATGCAGCTTGACGAACAGTTGCTGCAGCAGCTGGTGCGTCTTATACACGGCAATAGCAATGCCAAGGCCTTCCTTATCTCCGAGTATCTGGAGTACTTGAAGACGCAGATTCCGCAGGAGTCGCAAACACTGCTGCCGCCCAAGACTCTGCTGCGCGAGAAGTTTGACGAGCTGGCCAGCTGGAAGCCCGTCGAGCTGGGCACTGGCACCGAAGCCAAGAGGTCGAAAAAGCCCAAAAAGCGACTCTGCTGGGTGGTCAATGCAGAAATGCTACACAAGTTCAATCTGGACAAGCTGACGCTGCAGAACCAATGGAGCTATACACTCACACCCAAGATCAGTAAGACGGACACATCTTTGCGCGAGGCCACGCCGCCCGCAGACGCAGCGGAGGCTTGCAGCACGCCCAAATCCGATGATAACAAGCGCGAGGAGTCTGCGCCCAGAACGTCCATAACAGGCGCAAGCACAGGCACCGCTGCCACAGCTGGCACGGCTTCACCCGCGGCGACCACCAAGAAACGTGGCACACTGCTCATGTCTGTGCCGCGGGATCAGCAGTTCCATGCGCCCACCAAGAATGCGCTCATTAGCCAGTATCTGCGCAAGCACAACGAGACGACCAGCAGGAAGAATCCCTCACCGGCGCCAATGACCGACGATGTTGTTCTGCTCTCCGACTAAACGGAGCTTGTCTCTTCTCTCTAAAACATTAAATATATCTATCTTTGTCACACCCTTTGCCTAGTATCTAAATTCGTCTAGCCTAGTTTTTACTGTACTTGCCGTGCGAGCTGTCCAAGTAACGCAATATCAATTCACTTGGATGGTTCTATAATCGTACGGATGCGTGCTCCAGAAGGTACATTGATTTACAAATAGTGTTTTTTTTTCTCGATATATATATATGTATTTCTACAACAAATAAATTTTGTTTATTATTTATATTCAAATCAAGAAAGTTATTGAAATACTTGTAAAATTGCAGTCTGCGGTAAGTATCGTAGTATTTTCCTACCCAAGGGATATGACAGCCTGTGTTATTCAAACAATTTGAATTGATGAGTAGTACAACTCTATAATAGAATAAAAACGGAAGAGACAGCATATCAGTTACTCACTCATTTTCCTCCCGTGGCGGTGGAAATGCGTATTCGTATACCCTGAACCCACTTTATGATTTTGTATAAATATGTAGATTTAACAGGCAGAAGAGCCAAGTCTGATACCACAAGACCGTCTGCTTCGCATTTTAACAGCAGGGTTATTGCGAAATTTTGACCAAATCGACAAAATGGCATGATTCCATGATTTTTTCGATGATTTTTTTTTTTTTAATATCTCGGGTAATAGCTCCGCGCGGAGATATATCGTTCCAAAACGACATAGCTCCCCGCGGAGATATGACGTTCCAAAACGACATAACTCCCCGCGGAGATATGACGTTCCAAAACGACATAACTCCCCGCGGAGATATGACGTTCCAAAACGACATAACTCCCCGCGGAGATATGACGTTCCAAAACGACATAACTCCCCGCGGAGATATGACGTTCCAAAACGACATAACTCCCCGCGGAGATATGACGTTCCAAAACGACATAGCTCCCCGCGGAGATATGACGTTCCAAAACGACATAACTCCCCGCGGAGATATGACGCTCCAAACGACATAACTCCCCGCGGAGATATAACGTTCCATAACGACGTAACTCCCCGCGGAGATATGACGTTCCAAAACGACATAACTCCCCGCGGAGATATGACGTTCCAAAACGACATAACTCCCCGCGGAGATATGACGTTCCAAAACGACATAGCTCCCCGCGGAGATATGAATTTCCAAAACGACATAACTCCCCGCGGAGATATGACGTTCCAAAATGACATAAATCCCCGCGGAGATATGACGTTCCAAAACGACATAACTCCCCGCGGAGATATGACGTTCCAAGAACGACATAACTCCCCGCGGAGATATGACGTTCCAAAACGACATAACTCCCCGCGGAGATATGACGTTCCAAAACGACATAACTCCCCGCGGAGATATGACGTTCCAAAACGACATAACTCTTCGCGGAGATATGACGTTCCAAAATGACATAACTCCCCGCGGAGATATGACGTTCCAAAATGACATAACTCCCCGCGGAGATATGACGTTCCAAAACGACATAACTCCCCGCGGAGATATGACGTTCCAAAACGACATAACTCCCCGCGGAGATATGACGTTCCAAGAACGACATAACTCCCCGCGGAGATATGACGTTCCAAAACGACATAACTCCCCGCGGAGATATGACGTTCCAAAACGACATAACTCCCCGCGGAGATATGACGTTCCAAAACGACATAACTCCCCGCGGAGATATGACGTTCCAAAACGACAGAACTCCCCGCGGAGATATGACGTTCCAAAATGACATAACTCCCCGCGGAGATATGACGTTCCAAAACGACAGAACTCCCCTCGGAATTGACCTTCCAAATCATCACGTTTTTTTTTTTCAAATAAAGGTCGGTGCAAAAATCGAAACTTTTTCGATGATGTTTCTTAATATCTCGGGTAAATTGATTTTAAAATGTTATACCTTTTTGAATGCGTACGGATCCCTACCATCACTTTTTCGACGATTATACCCTGAACCCATTAAAAATGGGTATAAGGGTATACTGTATTTGTGGAAAATCCAAATGTATGTAACAGGCAGAAGGGTGCATATATTCTTGATCAGCATCAATAGCAGAGTCGATCTAGCCATGTCCGTCTGTCTGTCCGTCCGTCCGTATGTATAAACGCAAGGATCTCAGAACATATAAGAGCTATAGACTTGAACTATAGACTTTAGATGTAGGTGCTCCTAGTGCCTGCGCAGATCGAGTTTGTTTCCGATAATCGATAACTAACTCCGTTTCCAAGCAATCGATAAGAATCGATATCGATATCCTGTTTTTTAGGCAATTTTGGTAAATAATAAGAGCTAGAGTAACCATACTTGACATATAGCTTCTAAAATAGAATATATATATGCATTTGATGTTGGAAGAAGAGGGTTCAGGGTATCCCCTAGTCGGGAGCTCCCGACTAGAACCTCTTACTTGTTATTTTTTATTTTTGCATTTTGTTTTAAATTAATTTAAATATTAAATATACATGTACTTAATATGACCGACACAAAAGACTGTTGAAAAGAAACATGAGTTTATTATTGTTAGTTTTTTGTTTAATTCTTTAAAATTTTACTATCGTTGTTGGTGTGTGCTTGTGTGTGTGTGAGTGTGGCTGTATATGAACGGGTGATATTTAAAAATTGCGATTTTGTTTAAATTTGACATAAACTGTCTGATTATTTGTTTTTTTTTTTTTTTTTTTATTGCTATGGTAATCGTTGTTGTTGTCGTCTGTTGGTTCTGAAGGTTTCGCTCCCAGTTCAATCCGTATAACCCGAGTCCCAGACCCCACCCAAACCCTACCCCAATTTACCCAAAACCCCCTACCCCACCACCAATCCTTGGCTTTCGAGACATAGTTCATTTCGCGCGCTATCTACATTCGATCGTTAATCGATTAATCGATCGCAGCTCGATGAAATTATATATTTCTGAAATAAAAATCACAATTTGAAGGCGATGCGATTTGAAATGTTGATATACTACATACATAGACAGACATACGTGCATACATACATAGGACATCCATACAAACTAGTTCTACAGACGGATCACACATAAATATATGTATGTACCGTTATATTATATATAATAAGGCAAATACGTTGAGGGTCAATTTGTTGCAGGAAGTCGAATCTAAAAAAGTATATCTATAGGTATGTCAATAGATCGCCTGATGCGTGTGTGTAAGGGTATGTGTATTGTCTTAGAAACCAGTCATTTAGAAGTGTGTGTGTGTGTGTGTGTGAGTGTGTGTACGAGCTCTGCGTTGTGCGAGCGAGCGAAACAAAAATGCTCAATACAAATAAAAAAAGAATTTAAAAAAAAAAAAAACAAAAAATTTAAGTACCTAAGATTTAAGTTTAAGTCATTTACAAGTCAAAATTTTTGTTTTTTTTTCTTTTTGTTGTTTGTTTTTTGTATGTTTGTCAATTGATGTGGTTCTGTTAAGCGTTTTCTTGTTGTTTGTTTTTGGTCGCCATGTCTTTTAGGGTTTCACTTTGTTTCCCCATCCACACTAGACACCCTGATCCCGATCCTGATCCTGGTCTTTATCGAGCGCACGTCAGGGCAGCAACAGGGGCTTGAAATATGCCCGACAAAAGATTGTGGATGCCGATGGGGGCAGGTCCTGATTGCGATAATACATATTGCACTCGCGCTCCGTCAGCTTATCGAATACGGCCGCATATTCGCGATGGAATGTGGCCAGGTCCACATTGGCCCGGCCAATGGCCGTTAGCGCCAAAAATAGTATATCCCGATAGAATGAATGCGAACGCTCCACCCCGCTGCTCTTCAGCTTGTGCCGTTCGTTGGCCAAACGCTTCAGCGGCGTTGCCATATCGTTGCACCGTATCGCCGAAATGATTTGTTGAATGACACTGCAACAAAAGAAATCATAATGAATTAGTTAAATAAATAACAAATAATTCAATATATATAATTCTTGAAAAATATTATAATATATCTACAGTCACTTAGTTGTGCACGCACTTTCTCATGCTGGTGTTGATAACCATGAGCTATATCTTGTATGGTACATTAAATATATTTATATTGGAACTATCCAATATATAGAATAGTGTTTCTAGCAGTACTATTCTCTTAACTTATCTTAGTATATTATAACGCTTTTATGGGAGCAGCTGCTCGGAAATAAGAGCCATACATATGTCTATAAGGGCATATCAACCTTATTTCTTATTTGTTTTTCATATCGACAAGGGATTGCTTGAGTTTGGTATGGGAAAGCAGACGGACGACTTGTCGTTATATACAATATATAATTATATATTTATATCTCACTTCATGCTGAGCTGCGCCTGATCGGTAAGTAGAGCCTTTATCAATGGACTTGTTGGCTGCGTCTCCCGATAGAGTATATACATGGGCGAACCGCTGGTTTCGCTATGCAAATTTAGATTATCCCACAGGCACTGTATGTGCACGGTCTTGACCTTAGTCAGTGGATCCAGTTGCTTCTCGTCGCTCTGCAAAATAAATGAATCAATTACATGAGCTACAACACCATGGCATTTGTATTGTACTCACCGTTGGCGGCAGGCACAGTTCGGGCAGATGCGTCTTGCACTCGATGCGCTCCATGAGCCATAATAGATTCCAGTAAATGATTGGATGCTCCTCGACAAAGTTGGACTTGATAAGCGACAAGTCACCCTCTTGGGTGAGTATATTCTCCAGCTCTTTGCGCAGCACTAACGGATTCAGATACGGCACCGTCAAGCTAGACTTGTTGGCAGCCACGCCCTCGCTGTTGTTTTCTGTCTCGGCAGCTTCCAGGCGCGTGATCTGAACGCTGAGAAAAGGCACCGTCAGCTTATAGCACGCATGGCATGTGGTATTCAAATTGGAATCCTCCGCCGACCAGCCGCTCATGATCTCCTCATCATAGACAAGCACCGAACAGTTGTGACACTGCGAGCATGTCGTCAACTGTATCAGCACATCGCATTCCGGATCCGCGCCCTGTCGCATAGCAATAATGAATGGTCAGTTTTGGTTCGGAATTGGATAGACTCGCTTACCTCAATTATGGGGCTGTAGAGATTGTCGGGCAGCGCGGGAAAGGCGTACATATGCATTGCCGTATTGGAGCTGTTCTCGCCAAGCGGCACCAAATTGTTGTAGCTTGACTTGCGAGACTCGCTCAGCCTGCCCCAAGGATCTAGATCGCTAGAGACGCGACGCAGTTTGCCCTCATCGGCACCGCTAGCTGTGTCATGCTCTTCGCCGCCTGCAGTCGCCTCTTGCTGGTGATGATGCTGATGATGATGATGGTGCTGCAGATGATGATGGTGATGATGATGATGGTGATGGTGCTGCTGATGGCCATTATTTGTCTTCACCGGTGTCGAATTGGCCGATATGGCGCCCTTGATCTCATCAAATTTGCGCGTCAGCGAATTGGCCGCATACTTAATGCTGCTCAGGCTGCCCTGGATCAGCTCATTGGATTTCTTGCTCGTCAAGCTGGGACTGTTAGGGAGCAAAAGTAAGATGAGCTTTGGTTAATATTTGCCATTATTTGGTTGAAAGGCTTTCACACAAACACACAATATACAGGACGGTTAGCGAGAGAAGTGCCAATAACATCAACAACAACAGCAATAGCAACATCAGCAGCTAACGATCCCCAGTTGATTACCACATTATCGAAAAGTTTTTTTCCTTTAATCAATTTCCAGCCCATACTACCTTAAAACTTCAAATATTAGGTGAATCGATAAGAAAGTTCTCGCAGATCGATCGGATATAAAACAAAATGTTAGATAAAAGTTTTGTACTCGATTCTGTAGGTGGATTTTTCAATTCCCCATTTCCAAAATTTGTTCAATATAAAACTATAATTACAGAAAATAGTTCTGCCTTTTTCACACAATTGTGAATTCTCAAAAGCCCCAAGTTTCGTTAAAGGATAAGTCAATAATTGAATAGAATCGTTTGCTGCTGCGCTGCTTACATGTACAGGTGCGAAGAGAAGGTGAGTGGCGAGAAAGAGGGTGAGAGTGAGTGAGCGAGCGAGAGAGAAAGACAGAGAAAGAGAGCGAGTTTTGGGTGCTGTTGTGGGTTATGACAAAACTGGGTTTTGTGTGGATGTTAAGTTTGTATTTTTTGTACTATTATGCTATGGAATATGCAAGTTGTTAGCGATCAATGTGAATGTTTGTGTGTGTGTGCGTGCATGTGTGTGTGGCTTATGTCAAACCTTGAATTGCCCGCCACCAACAACAACAACAACAACAACAACGCCGAAGACGTCGAAGTTGAATTAAAGGAGAACCCAAAAACCGAAGCGTGTATCGCCGCAACTGATCAAATGTGGAACTAAAGTGGAACATAAGTGGTTTCAATTGTTTTGTGTGTATTGAATCAAATGCTGCGCGACAACCAACACTTTTCCAAACAGAACAATAAATCAAACAATTTGTAATCGACAATACTTAAGAGTTGGCTTTTATGCAAAAAAGTATTTTGGACTGGCAATTAAACATTTCGATTATCGTAATTTTTGTTAAAATTTCTTGAGTTTGTTTTTCAAATTAATTCAAATTTTTTAAATATGTGTGAAATTTATACTAATTAAAGCCAAATAAAATTAAAAATAACCACTATGCACAATTGTATTGTACAGTTTTCTGTTTGAAAGAGTACTTTACGTTTAGAATAACCAAAGTACTTTATAAAAGTGATATATAAAGCATTACTTTGGAGTATTAATTGCAATTATAGCTGTTATAAATATTCCACAGACAAGAAAATCCACCTATTGCAGTGGTTTACCAAAGTGGAGTCTGAGTGGAAAGTAACTTATTCGTATGCCCCGCAGCATATGTACAGTGTGTGTGTGTGTGTGTGTGTGTGTGTGTGTGTGTAAGAGTGTGTAGGTTTTAGGAGCTTTTTTTCTGTCTGACTTACCTTATGCTTGATATATTTTCTATTATATTGGCGGGCAATTTCAAGTCTTTCTTAAGGGACAATCGTGCGGGTGAATAACGTCTACGGTAAAAAAAAAAGTTGCACAGAAACGAATTGGAGCGATTTTAAGAGAGTTTTCATATGTAAAAATACAAGAGGCAAAAAAAAAAAAAAAAAAAAACAAATAAAAATAATATCTAGTACAAAAATCTCTGAAAGAAAAAAGAAGTTGAACTGCGTTCGTATGGGTGTGTGTGCGTGGAATGTGTGTGGAATATATGTGGATTGAAATTCGATTGGTGAATGGCACACTAAAGATAATAAAACATGTTGTCTGCTGCTTTTTGTTGTTTTTGCATTCAACTTTTGGACCAACTGACGACTTAGTTACCCGAATGTAAACTTCAGCGAGGAGCCAATGTTGGCCAGACTGTGGGTAACCCCGCTGCTGGCCACTGGCATCGTCTCCGATCGATGCATGCTCTTCCCAATTTGCGTGGACTCATCAAACGTGGCGCTGCGCTGTCCCCTGAAAAGGATTGGTTTATCGCTGTACATGTTGCTATTGAGAGCTGTCGTTGTCGTTGTCGTTGTCGTTGTCATTTCTGCCTGTGCCTCCGGTAGCTGTGTGGGCGTAGCGTCCTCCTCATTTAGGGCGCCTAGCGGATCGTTTTGGGTGACGGGCGTGCGTGGTGAGATTCTGGTAAAGGAGACAAATTTCAAATCATGAAGAGAAATAATAATAATAATAAAAAAAAAACAATTCCAGTGGAGGCCAACTCACTTGGTGGGGCTCTGAACGCGTTGTCTGGCCTGTTGATTAGCCACATGGTCATCGAGCTCGTCTGGCTCCTGTTCCTCCTCATCCAAATCCACGTCTAATTCGTAGTCACCGCTTGCAAATTGTATATCCTGTTTGCCCTTTTGTGGTGTCAGCGGCGCCGATTGTTGCTCATGTTCGGCCCGTTCCCCATCCCCATCCCCGTCATCATCCTCATCGTCCTCGCCATCGCCAATGCTCATGATTTGCTTACGTGGTTTGCTTAGCAGCTGCGCATCGCCGCCATAGATGGGCGTATGCGGCGTGTGGGGCGAACTGCCATTGGCGCTGTTGGCGGCAGAATCGCCGCTGATTAGCAGACCAGCGCTGTTCACCACATCCTCGGTGGGCAGCACATCCGGAGCACCGCCCGTGACCGTTTGCCGCACAATGCTGCCCAGCTTGTTGCGCAGCCTGTCAAAGGCGGCAAAATCAAGCAGACCGCCACCGCCGCCTTCGCCGGAGCTGGCCAAGCTGCTGCGCGACTGACCGTCCACCGTTTCCAATGTGCTCAGATTGTGGTCATGCGAGGAGCTAAGTGATTTGCACACCTTGGCGGTACGACGTTTGCCGGCACGTCGAAAGTGTCCAGCGCCCATGATGACATTCTTGATGCGGTTCCAGCGAATCTGGCTGAGCGTGGTGCTGTCGCTGGGCCACTGGGATTCGAGGACGCAGCGATTATAAAAGCCGTAGGTAAGGGCGTTTGGTTGCAGGCCCGACCTCTTCATCAGATAGTGCAGTCGCACTGCCAGCACTGGCAGATTGTGTATGCCGCACAGCTGCATCATGATGCGATAGCAGAACTCATCGCAGGTGATTTTCAGCTTGCTGGCGCGCACCAGAACATCATAGGCGGCGCGCAAAATGTCATGCTCCTTACCAGCATGCCGGGGATCCATCACCATGGAAGGCAGTATCAAAAAGTACAGTGAATAGCAGGTGGCCAGCAGATATTTAGACCACGCCTCCGGATGTTGCTGGCAACGGCTGGCCATCTTCTGTGACAGCTTCACCTCGTGCTTGGTACGACGCGCGATGGGCGAGCCGGGCGACAGAGATGCATTTAGCTGTAGCTGCAGGAACTGCGACAGTGCCGTCTTTCTTGTGCTATGCAGCAACTCTGGCTGCAGCGTAAAATTCTTGTAAACATAACTGGCCGAGCCGCCTGATGTTAACGACACGTTGTCCGGCGGAAAGATATACTTGGTGCGCTCGCTGCTCTGGCCCGTATCCCAGTCGACCAAATGCAGCTGTCCAGGCGTCTCATCGTAGCCGGTCACCTTCTCGGCGCACTCGTCAAAGAAGCTGAGGCCGTGATCTCCATCAGACACGAAGCTGCGCTCCTCAATGAATCTAATGAACATTTGGGTTTTCATCAGCAGCTCAAAGAATTTCTGGTGCGACTGTACAAATGAGAAAGAGAGAGACAGAGGGAGAGGGTGAGAAGGAGATAGAGGGGAGTATGTTATTCATAAAATCCATTTTAAATCGTAATGTAAATGTAAATATAAAAATGTTTATTGCTAAGAGAAAATTGTGTACGAAGAGGTTTTGTTATTCATCAATTTCCACTATTGAACGTCTTAAGTGTGAATCATATTTCAATATTTATTTTATTATTGCTGGAATTCAAAATATGAGATCACAAACCATGACTCATTTTGAAGATTATCAGTTTTTTTATACCCTGATACCCATTTTTAATGGGTATCCCATTAAAAATGGGTATCAGGGTATATTGTATTTGTGCAAAATCCAAATGTATGTAACAGGCAGAAGGAAGCATCTCCGGCCCCATAAAGTATATATATTCTTGATCAGCATCAATAGCCGAGTCGATCTAGCCATGTCCGTCTGTCTGTCCGTCCGTCCGTATGTATGAACGCAAGGAACTCAAAACATATAAGAGCTATAGACTTGAAATTTTAGATGCATTTTTATTAAAAGCTAATATTTTTGAAAGGCGTAACATAAAAATGATCTGGAGAAAAACAAGAAAAGAGAGTGGCCGATAAATTATTGCCCTTGCTTGACAAAAGTAGTTTCAAATAGTGAAAGCATTATTGACCTTGGACTTGAAACTTGTTATTTTCGTATTTAGCTTAATCAAACGATTTTTTAAACAATAATTCAAATGGCTATATAATTGGTTAATACCATGCCTACAAGCAATTCTTAATTAGCTGGCGTTTAAATAAGCTCCATAAAGCATCAAATTGGGAAATAAGCAATTACTTATACAGTTTGAAATATTATAGTGTATTAAAATGTTGTCACATAACCAAAATATGTTATTGGTGATCTGCGTAAATGTTTGCGATATGAGGCAAGCATTTAAGTGTATTCGAATATCGCATTAAGAGGAATCATCTGTGACGCCATAAAGTGGCAAGAGATCTGCACCGTTTGCTGTTTCCCTCATCGGGGAACTTCTCGAGGCTGACGTCAGCCGAGGAACGTGAAATTTCATTTGAGATAAAAATAGATTGAAAATTTGTAGATTACTGCTAGGAAAGAAATAAAAACGAAAGCAGCAATAATCTATAAGGTCATATTGAACGGCGTTCAGATTCTGCCTACACGCAATTTCTTAGCTAACCCCGTCTGAATGATACCCAACTCTTTGCACTTACCTTATCGCGCGAGCGCAGAAAAGCTTTCAGCTGAAATAAGGCACTTGGATCCGTGGCGCCCACGGAAGGCGCCTTTGAAATAGGCACCAAGTAGTCACGATAGCCGCGCAATATGCACGCCATGAAGAGCAGAAATGCCTCCTGAATGCGCTGCTCTAGCACCAGCTTAAAACAAAAACAAAGAACTAAATTAAACATACTTTGGAAAGTAGATAAGATATGACGGGTAGCTTGCCTCACGCTTACGCTTCCGTATGTCACGATCCAAGCTATTAGTGGAATCATAGCTAATGGGCTTGGCGTTCTCCAACTCGGTGAGCGTCTGTCTCAGTAGTCGTGCGGCCCGCTTGGGCAGAAGCTTTGGCGTCAAATGGCGCTGCGAGTCGCACAACTGCAGAAGATAGAGAGATAAAAGAATAGAGTAATTGACAGCGGAGCTGCGTATGAGACATGCGTACGCTGATGTTATTGGTGTCCAGATCAATGCAGGTTACATCTGTGGGCGGCTCGTACAGATCAAAGAAGCGCGAGTCGACGCCAATCAAATAGGGCAGAGGCGCATGCAAAACCTCGGCCAAGCCCAACGGGCACAACGGTATATAGGGGCATTGCCACTTGAACGGAAACAACAGCGAGACAATCGCCTCAGCAACGGCAGTCAGCGTCGCAGGTCTGCAAGTAAGAGCATGGTTCAACGAAACAATTTACAAGCAATAAATAGAGTGCATACACACATACCTGAGCGAGTGTATGAGTATCTTTTGTTCGGTGAGCGCAAGGAGGAGTACGTGCAGACAATTGTCGGTGCCTAAATTTTGGAGCAACATGTGAAAACCGGCGCCACTGCGCGGCAATGGCGAATCCTCTGGCTGTGTGAGCAGAATACGATCATTCGACTCGCTGGACAGCTGTAGATGTATGCTAGGCGCCGGGAACGGAACCTCGTCCAGCAGCTGGATAATGTAACGCTCCACGGGTATTGGTATATTGACGCCATACACGACCATGCGCTAAGGGAGGCAAGACACTTGTTAGCGGACATCTGTTAATTGATCTTCGCGTCGCTTACATGTAAGTATTTAAGCCATTTATCAAAGGTGTCGCCAAAGGGATGGTGCGACAGCAAGCAAATGGCCTTGATCATGTGCAACGAGTGTTGTGACGCAAACTCCTCATCCCAGCCAAGCAGTTCGCATTGCTCCGCAGATAGCTGCGATGCACTGGAATAGCGAAACAAAAAAAAAAACAACATTTGAGCCAGGAATCAGTTTTCAATATGTGTGCCGCTTACTCGTAATCCTCGTAAAAGGTAAGAGCCGAGCCGTAGACCTTGTAGGTGCCATCGCTTACAGTCAGCACAAAAGTGCTGAAAACTGGGCTGATGGGTTTGCGTTTTTCGGTGCCATTGACATGTGGCCAGGCCTCCAGGCTGGCGCCCATGGGCAGGCAGAAGAGCGGCACGCTCGGACATAATTTGAGTGGAAAGTCCGTGTGATCTACGGTGGGATAGCGCAGTAATATTTCTGGCTTATAGCTAATGTGCTTGGGACGGTACATGGACTTCTTGTAGCACAAATATACATCGCTGCCCACATAGCCCTTGTTCAGCGTCTTGTAAATGAGACAGAAGGCATGCGGCGGCCGTTCTCCTTTGCTTTGGACAATCACGCACAGCTCTGTGACCACCAGTTCGTTGCAGGGCATGTCTGGACGGGCGCGTCGATATGTGAGAAAGGTTTTTGCCGACGAATTATTCACATTGGCCACACGCCCGCCGGGCGTTTCGGCAACTATTTCCGCATCCGACATGATGCGTTCATGGCCATCGTAAAGCACGCCTAAATGACAAAACAAGCAAATGTACTCCGAAGAATTTATTTGGCAGGTCTTGCTTTGCTTACCGATATCCACTAGCGGCGGCCGATCCTTGCCGCGTCGAAAGTATATGTAACATTCGGTGGTGCGTACCGAGCCATGATTAAGATTCGCCGGCAGTCCCGTTGGTGTGTGCTCCAACAGCTCATAGCCATCGGGCAGCTGCTCGCCCAGCAGCGGAAAGAAAACGCCAATGTCGGTGATCGGCTCAATTGTATTGGCCGCACGCAGCCGGCCCGAGTCATTGAATATGTTCTCCTGCAGCAGCTGCGGCTGCTCGGGCATGCCGGCCACCACAAAGTAGTCCGCTATGCGCTTCTCCTCCATATTTTATGCTGTAATCGGTCGTGTGTTTGTTTCAACTGCAAAGAAACGCCAAAAAGGGTATACTTTAAGTTTGGTGATTAGATAAAACGGACGGGTAGACGGTAGACACAGCCACGGAGTCAAGTCGCAAGCGGCAGCTGGCGCAAATCTTTGTTTACATTGCCGACGTCGTCGCTGCTATCGCCGAGAGCTTATTGCAAATGCGCACAAGTCGAATGAAAATCAAAATAATAATAAAAATAACTAAGCGACTTTGCTGGAATCTCGATACGAACGGCGTCGCTGTCGTGGACTTTGCTGTTGTTGCTGGTTTGTATTATGCTGCGACCACAGCTTACAACAAAAACAAGTTCCGCATGATGATTCAACGACGTTTCCGCTGCTGTTGCTGCTGTTCAATGCCAGGCCTTTTGTTTTGTTGCTGCTGATTTGGTTTTTGTTTACAGGAATCGAAATTCGCTCCCGTTGCGGTTGTTTCAGACTCGTATGCAAAACTTACAAATCCGCTGCTGTCTTTTTGGTCGTTGTTGTTGCAGCTGCTGAAAAAAAAACGCTGCTGCGTCTTTGATTTCAGTTTTCAGTTTTCGTCGTCGTTTTTGCAACTTCTTCACACTACGTTAATTTCTACACAGCGTTGCACAAACACACACACACACGCACACGCATACACACGTTCATACTGACAAGACACGAAATCATACATACATATCGATATGTAGGCGGCGACATTCGCCCACTTGCACTTTGTCTTGACTTTGTGCCCTTAACTATCGCGCGTCTCTTGACCAATTTGTTACGTCGCAGCCGTTTAATGCATGCGAAATCGTAATCAATTGAAAGCTAGAGTTGTTGATATATCGCACATCGTTTACATGCAATTTCGATATTACAGTATATGTATCGATTATCAATATTAATGTTATTTTTTAATAGTGGGACTCCTGAAACTAATTTTGATTTGATTTAGATTTCGGTGATCAGCTGTTCACAGCTGCTCCATATCAAGTGTGTACTGTGCCCAGAAAAAGTAACTAAATTTGAGTCAAGCTAAGCGATTTAACGAAGTCAGTTTCAGAATTCATATCATTGTGCTTTATTGACGGTTCTTCATAATTATTTGCTTTAGTAAGCCCAGCTAGAGAGCATCCAAATGATTCGGAGGTGGATGGATGATTATTCCACTTAATTCTTTCATTACGTATTTTGGTAAATTGCAACAATTAAAAGTTGCTCATATCCCGAATGCCGCGTGCCGTGCTGCAACAACGAATTGCCGATAGTTTTGCACTATCGCCATCGCCTCGAGAAGAGCGAACATGGGCTGCTACTTATCGATGACGATTCATTGTAACTATCGAATTTGTTATTTACCGCGAACAGTTTTGTATTCAAAACTATAAGAATAATATATTGTATTGCATGTTAACACAAAACAAAGATCGGCCGATCGGAAGGTGAGAGATAAAGGTTTCCCACCCGCGTTTTTCATGATTTTTACCATTAAGCATGCACTTCCATCATATTAAGTAACTTCAGTAAAATCAGTTTTAGTTTCCTACCACTTACCATTTGATCATCAATTAGTCAGCTAGACAAACAGTTTTATATATTGAGGATTATATAAATATTTTTGAACCATTTATATCCATGTATGCTATGTACATGTTTATTAATAATTTATAAACATTTTTATCATTTTGAAAAAAGAAATTATTTATAATATTTTGTACTGTATCTAATAATATCATTTATATACAAAACAAGGGCATAGATGCACACGCTTGCAATTGCATTATTTATACAGTTTTCAAATATATAACGGCCTGCGTTTAGTGGAAAATTCGATTAATTTGAATAAATCGTCATCGATAGTTAGCTCATCTCGAAGAGTTGACGATAATTGAAAACTATGAGTTATCGGTGCGGCAAGACATCGGCAATCGTGCTGCCAATGTGTTATTGGGGTCTACTAGTTGCGTATACTTAATAAACTACAACATAAAATCAAGGTCCATCAACGCAAACGGAATCCTGGTGGATAAGACACCATCAACTCATGTGGACGTTATTTAGCTGGGGTAAATAAAGCTAAGATTAACCTCAACTGCTTAATTCTTTTGAAATATGCATCGCTTTGCGGCTGGATACGAAATCCCGTTAAAAGCTTAGAAAAATAGACACCAACCCGACTCATTTGGACTTTCTACTTTATCTAGGATAAAATCAACACAAATAATAACAAATGTACAATTACCGTTATACCGTTGGGCGGCACAACTATTGATATACAAGTTATCGTAATCGGTTGAGCGCCAGCAATTCCGCATTTTAAATTCGCTAGCATCTTTTTCTATTCTATAACACTTAACCCTTTTCTACTGCTACTACTACTACTATTTGATTACAGTATTAAGAGACAAATCGACTTCTTTTAAACGCGACCCAATTAGTGCCTTGCAATTGTATTCACAGTTCTTTGCTCTGTGACCAAGCCAAGCGGGGCGTAACCGGCCCCAACAATGGCGACGCATGCATTAGACCTAATTATGCTTTTTATGGATTTAAGCCAAGCTGCTGCTGTCTATTATTCCCAATTTACAATTGGCCCAGTTGGTGGCGGCACTTGTCCATTGAGCCAAGCCGCTCGGTTTCATTCATAAAGGCAGTTGGCTCGAGTTTTAACTCAAGATGAGCGCATTGTGGACTGCGACTCGCGACTCAAATTGTGCGCAGCCAGTGGCGCCTTAAAGGGGAGTGTTGCCTGTTGCCTGCTGCTTGCCCCCCCTGCGACAAGGACTCTGCTGCACAGTTTGACTCGGGTTTGTTTACAAATATTCCATCGTGCTTGCCGCTCGTACCGTAGTCCTTTGAGATTTGTATGCGCGCCTGTTGCGTGCGCCCGTTGGACATTCTCCTAATGGATTCTGCTGCGGCCTCGATTGCTCTGGTTGCCCCGATAGCCTGGCTGCTATCCGTTTCTGTTTGTGATAATCTAATTATGCGGTCTTCCCGAGCTGGTTATCGGCTGTGCCATTGCCATTTTATTTGCTTCTAATCAACTGGACAGCCCGTTGTCCTTCGTCCGTCCTCCGGCTGGCCATTACAAAATAATAATATAACAAAGATTTATTTACAAATGCCATAATAAAAATCGCAGCCAAACAATTAACTAAGCAATTTAGGGCAACAAATCAGATTAATTAAGAACAATAGCCAACATTCAAATGCCAAATGGCATTGGACGTTTGGTATTTGGGACACTTGACAAAAATGGTCTTTGAAATTGTATTTCTCATGTCTCATATACGAAATTTCTGTCGACTCAGGAATACTCTGTAATCAGTCTGCTTTCAAAAATTATATACAATATTGGGGACGGGAACGGAACTATTGCTAGATTTTTCAATGTTTCTAATACTTCTTCGTTTAAATGTTTATAAAATTTGTCATATAAATGCGTTGAGAAGGAAAAAATAATAGCCCCTTTTTTTTATTAATGATTTTTAGTTCATTTACTTAAGCCACAGATTGAGCAAGCTTCTAAAAATATATATAGGGTGCATGTTTGAATATGAGCTCGTTTAAGGAATTGGAATTATACAACTATAAAACTTACCAAAAGACACTATATAATCTATATTAGAGTCTCTTACTAAAGGACGTTGTGTTAACAAAATAAATAACTATAAGATCATTTTGTTTATATATTAGGCTATAACATTTAATCTTTAATTGTTAAGTGGAAAAAGTGCTAAAATAGATGAAAGTGAAAAAAGAAACACTTATGCGATATATTCTTTGCAAAAGGGTGAAAGCAACTTGTTACAGGTTTTTCATAATACATACATTATTGTATTTCAGAGAACAATTTTCAATGCATTTTTTTTTCTTTCGCATAATGCTTAATCTTAATTCATTTGGTTTGCTTTTCTTGTTCCATGTCTCAGGCGACAATGTCACTCAGGATATTTGAGTGGGCGGCCGCAGCGAAAGCGCTCAGAGTAAAATGGAAAAATAACTCATACGCCGTGTCGGCCGTCGTTGGATGCGTGTTCGGGTTTCAGTTCGTCGATTCTTTGACTCTGACGATACTGCTACGGGGCGCTAGGATTGTGATTTGAATTGTAGAAAGCGCGCAGTTCGCATGCGAATGTCCTGACCGACGGTTGTGTGGCCGGCCCAGCATCCGAGCAACCGCATAGTTTAAAAAAAATCTTCGAAAATTGTTTTTGAAAATGTAAATTGGCAGAGTAGCTACGAGTACTGAAAATAATAATATATAATATTCCTAAATACATACTTGTATCTGTGAAAGTTTTTCTTAATTTGTTTTTTTTTTTGGTGCTGTAAAAAACCATCAACAAAAAACGGCGACAAAATCCAAAGTGAAGAAATTACAAGAAATTGCAATAAAGGTTATTAAATTTTATAAAAGAGTCTTGAGCGTGGCAAATTTCTTGCGTCTAGTAGCTGTCACATCAGCTGCTGATTTTCGGCTCCGCGTATATATTCAAATCTAAGCAGGTGAGTGCACCGCATAATTACCGGAAATTTAATTATGAGGTGAGGCGTCGACTTTGTAAACGGTAATTGCATTACCTAGCCAACCGCGCTCCCGCTTCGCAGCCCGAAAATAAGCAAGTAATAAAAAATGTTGCAGTCAGAAAACTCCCTTACTTCCAAACACAGGGTCTGGCTTAAAATAAACACCTCAATGCCCCATAAGAAAGTTTTTTTTTCGAGTTTGAGAAGTGTCTATGCACAAAAATAATATTAACTTGTTTTTACTGTGAATGAATACCTTTCGAGTTCTCAAATTACATTCATACGTCGTTAGTTCGATTCAAATTAAATTTTGCGGTTACCCCAATCAAAGGCGATTTGTAAGCAACTCAAAAGGTTGAGGAATGTTTCATTTCTTTTTTTTTTTTTTGTAAACCTTATTCAATTAGGTGCCCACCAATTTGTACCGCTTACATTTTACTTAGGGGCAAGGGAGCTGCCGGACCTCTTTCAGGCCGAAGAGCTTCCCGTCGTGGGTGTAGACAATATCAAAGACAGGAGCCGAGCTATTTAAATTCGCAGACGGAATTAAGCTCATTAGCATATTGTCGCCGGTCGGTCATCAAGTTCACGGGCAGATGTTACAATTTCCCATTTTCCAGTTGCCAAGTTTTCCACTTGATTGATGAGTCCAGTTACAACCCAAAACTGCCACCTCATACTCGGCGCCACGTCTACAAATTTACCTGCTCCCGCTGCAGAGCTAGAGAAATGATACGCATTAAACAAAAAGATGAGTTTGCCGTTTGTCCAGCGACAATCAACATCCGCTCAAATCGCATGTACTATATTTCCTTTGTTCTTTTTACTTCGGGTTTCCGAGCATTTTAAAACAAAACATTTGTGACTAAACACAAATTCGTATTGTATTTTTTTTAAGTTGCCTTCGAAAACCAGGCTACAATACGTTTTCGAACCGAACTAGTTCGGAACGGAAATTCCAATTTATTTTTACCTGCGTTCCGTACCTTAAACCAAGTCAGTTGCCCCAAAAACTGCTGGAACGCATCATAGCTCTTTTTGTGAGACGGACTTAGCGCAAAAGCATAACAAATTTGGGCCCATAATACTATTCAACTATATTTTGTAGATGTCACACTTGGGTAG